TAGAAGAACTGGAAGGGGGCAGGGGAGGAATCAATGAGATGGAGAGAGGAAGATCTGAACTCCTGCAACCCTGGTGCTCTGGTGTTTCACTTCCATTTAGAAAAGGAAGCAGCTTGTGAGAGACTGCTAATGCTGATAGGTTATGGATCAACAGACTTCAGTTTCCTATGAATTACATGAACAGTCTTATTTATTGCTGGAGGTTATACGAGGTTAACCCTGTGTATTGGGGCTGTAAGATTTCTCAAGAGCAATACAAACAAGGGCTGAACAACTGAAGTGTCGAGTCTGCAAAAGCTCCTGATCTAAACACAGTAATTTACAAAGACAAGTGAAGCAAGGTTACATATTTCTGGCGGAGACTTACAAGAAGAATATCCCTTGTAACTATTTAGATTTTTCTCCTATAAGAGCAAAGGGAGAAGAAGATGATGCTAAAGTCAGTTAGTGGTATGTTGTCCTCTTCTGTAAGAAAAGGCAATGAATTTTAGAGCTGTTCTTTCTAGTGATACCAAAACAGCTCTGATTTTGAAAGCACCTTCATTATCCTGGAGCTAGATTATAATGATTTGTAAGTTGAAACAAAAGCATAACTTTGTTTTAGTTATAAACTGACATAACTGATAATCTTATCAGCATTATCTGGTCACAAATGAGTCTCTTCTAACTATAAAAGTGAAATTCAACTCTGGAACAAAAATGCTTGCTGGATACTGAGCGTCTCTTTATATTTTAGATTTTGCATAATGAAGTTATCCACTATATGTGGATGAACATTGCTGTTTTCACAGTAGGTTGGTAACATGTTTCTGTCATGTGGGATGACTGGAAGCACAACATTTTGGTTTTCCTGGTATAGTTATTAACATGAATGAAAATGTGCATACCCGCGTTTGAGAAAGTGGATAGACTGTCAAATCCATTGGTCAAATGTTCAGAGAGATAAAAGCTGAAGACATTTTTCAATTCAGTAAGACAGACAGCTGTTCACCTATAATTCAGTAGTGAATGGTGAGTTGTATATGATAAATCCTCTAACTGCTCTATTGGAAATCATGCATGCTTATTGTTTTTACATAGGTTTCGGGGTTTTGTGGTTTTTTCTTAAAGCTCTTCAACATGCACACGTTCCCGTCTTCCACCTCACTCTTCCAAATGCAATCATCTCTGTTCGTAATTGACCTAAGTGATCACCATGGTTTCCAATTCAATTCAGGTCCCCAAAGAGGTCTTTTAATTAAGAAGCTCTAATAGAATCTCAGAGAAAACTTCTAAGTCCCCAGTCTTCAGGCTGAGCTGGAGATCTCGGGGGTGTCTGTGGCCAACTAGTACGAGACCCTGAACATGTCCTTTGTGGAAAGGTTATATCCTACGCAGAAATTTGTGTTAGTGGATCTTAGAGATGCAGACATCCCATGGAAAATTCCTAGGGATCACACAAAGCTGAGAAGTTCTGTAGTAGGCTGCTGTTGAGCAGTGGGTAGTGACCAAGAGACTGTTGAGGTGGAAGCGGGCGCACACAGAAATGTCTGTGTATCAAACTCCAACTACAGTTTGTGTAAGGTACTCAGCCCAGCTCGCAGTCAGCTCAGTAATTGCAGATGTGTACATAGGTGGGATTTCCAAAACTGCTCGGGATTGGTCTCTGTTTATTTCAGTGGGGACAATCCCACCTTGTGCGTGTGCAGGTCTGCAGAGCATCGTGTGCTGATGTTTACTCAGCAGTTGGTACTAATCTCCAGGAAACAACCTGTGCTTGCTGGACTGTGGTTGCGATGTTTGGTAATGTTGTGCAAAAGTACTTGAGAATGCTTTCACACCAGGAACTTCAGCATTAGCCATGTAGGGGAACAAAAAGTGGAACTGGAAAACACTTCTAGACTCTTAGAAGTATGGCATTTGCTGAAAAGTAAAGTTCCAGAAAACTGAAACCACATATAAACTTCAGATAACTTTGATGAATAGTTCTTGGCTGGAAGACAGAAAGGAAAATTTAAATGGTTTGTGCTGATTGTTTCAGGATTAAACATCTTGAATTTTTGTTTCAAATGCTCTCCCTTCTGGCAATTCTCTCAAAACTTCTGGTCATATAAATCTGAGTTACTGAAGATACTACTTGAGGAGTCTTGTCAGAACAATATTTTGTTTAATTGGAGGGTTTTATTTAAGCTCTTTATTTTGTTGAAAATCTCTGAAGTTTTTCTTTGGAATGTAGCTTGAAACAAATTTTTGTTTTCAACTTCTCTGTTAGCTGACTGAACAGAACATGATATTTGCAAATACCCAAGAGGGGACAGTGGGAGAACAGAAAAAAAAATAAAAGCTTTGGTTGTGATAAGCCATCCTCTTTGCACAGCAGAACTCCAAGACCAGACCTGGACCACTTGTATAGAGGCACCTGTACATTTCTACACCTTGTAATTGCACCAACATGTGTCTAATATGGGCCACTCGGATGATTTATAGAAGTCATTTATACTGCATTTCTATAACAAGTGCGTGGAAATTTCCATTAACTCCCCCTCCACAGAAGAGACCTGGAAGAAAAAAGGGTGTGAAGGAGGACCGTGCCATGCAGTGATGGGGACATGGTAGTCAGGGGTGGGAGGCAGACTGCAGAAAGGAACAGTACCCGAGACACAGTGAAGTGGCCTGTTCTGCACAGAAAAACACCTCTCCCTTGGCTCCACTCCTGACTGAGCTGGTTTTTCATCTGGTGAAAAATGGGGATGAAATACCTCCCTTGCTATCCTTTGAAAAACACTTCAGTATCCTCAAAGGAGATATAAGAGCAGCATCATTATAAGTGGGAAATGAATTGCTCTCTTGCTGGATTTAGCAGCTTCCTGTTTTGGAAACCCAAGATACCATCTCAAATTTCTGTTTGTTGTCAGCCTAGAAGAAGAGACTCAGAGGCTGCAAAGCTTCTGGTGAGGCAGCACTTCATTTGCTAATTGTCTCTGCCAGACAATGTCATTTACACTGAGCACAAAATCACCTCTAACCTCCACTGACCAGAAAATCGTTATATTCTTGAACTCCCATCCTTCTGAAACAGTACCGGGCATTGCAAACTCAGGCTGTGTGTGTCAGCCCCTCTCATGGGGCAACAAAATACAGGGATACTTATTGCTGGTTCATTTACAAACATCCCCATTTCCAGGCCTAATTACAATATCATAAACATCTGCATTATAAAAAAGATGTTTTGACTTGCCATGCATAATGTAATGATGCTTCTGCTTTGAGGACTGTTCTGTCCTTTGAGAGGCACAGGACTGGCATCTGCCCTGAGCATGCTGTGGAAGGGTCCAGGTCCTGTGCTTCAGGCTGAACTTGGGTCTCTGGTGCAGGGTGGAGGTTCAGAGAGGCCTTTGGAGTCAGGAGACTGGGGAAGGGCTGCTTGACATCGGCTCCCTCACAGCCCGGTGTTTTTGCACGTTTCTGTCAGAAAAGCTAGTGAAGCTGAGCTTTGCCTCTGTAAGAGCTTTGCAGTAAGGAAAATGTTTCCTGTTTTACAGTTTTAATTGCTCTTTTGCTGTTTTAGGCCATGTTACAATGATTGCCATTTTTGCTGTATAAAATTCAGATGTTCTGTCCACCTGCTTCTTCTCCTCCATCAGCTGGATGATCACAGTGGCTACATCAGTTTTAGATGGGATCAGACCTGAAAGTGGCAGCTCTGATACGCAGGGCAATGACCTGCAAGGCTTTTCCCCTCATTATTAAACACTTACTGAAGTTGGAGCACTGAGGAAACCATTGAATCACGCTGTTCAGTTGGTGGATGGTTTTGGCTGTAAGACGTTGCTCTTTGTTTTGGAGACAACATAGCAGAGGAATCTGGCTTGACAGCCATAGCTCAGTTAAATGCTATGGTGACTGCTGAAGGCAACAGAATAAGTCAGTGTTACCCAGGTCTACTTCCTCTAACAGCAGTCTTTAAAGAGCAGGAGGTTATGTGTATAGTTTTCCTTTGTTCCAAGGACTGGTTCAGGCATGTCTGACTGGGATGTGACATCTCCTGAGGGATGTGGTTAAAGACAGACAAAGTAAACACTGCTGCTTTGGTGACTCCACAAAAATCTGATAGCCAGAGACTGTCATGGAAGTGAGCACCTGGGCAGCAGCGATGCTTCTCATCTCTTCCTTTAGGAAGTTTATGGGACTGCTAAATGTAAGGAACTGCTAAATATCTGGACCTCACATGAAGCAGGAATATATTGTATGTATCTGAGTTAGTTTTACCCATTCTGCAGAAGAAAGAACTGGAGGTATGAATAAATTATTCTAAATTATATAAAACATAGAATAAATTATTAAAAATTATTAAATTATTCTTAATGACCTTTCAAGAGTTTCATGTCAAAATTACCACTTGGCTCTCGGCAAGGGAAGAAGTGATTCTGTATTAAAGGTGGAGCTCCTTCCAGCAAAAATGAGGGGTGAAAAGGCTTATTTAAACAGAAAGGGAATATTAAACATCTGTGTGATGCAGAGAGGATAACAGACAATGTGCCAGCATTAGAATGGAAGCAAAGATGAGTGGTGTCCCTCAGAGGGGACTGAACAATGAAATTCTCAAGCTTTTGCTGGGGTTCAGGTGCATGCCTCCAGTTGGGCTCCTGCATGGAGGGGCCATGGAAGCCTTCTCCCTCCATCTCCCACACCAGCGTTTCACTTCCTTTCTGTGAAAAAGTTAGAAAAAGACAGGGGGAGAGTCAGAGGTAAGTATTTTGTTTGCTTGGATTTCCAATTTTAAGACTGTACAAACAGCTGAAGGACTTAATTCTGTTACTGCTGCAGACGAACCTCGTTCTGCTTGAGTTATTCTGAATACACTCATAAACCAAAGCAGCCACAGTTATGAAGAAATGTTGTTCAAAAACCCCATCCTTAATCTCATTTAAGTATGAAACTAAGGGGCTGACTTTTTAAGAAGGCCCTCTTGAAGCTTGCCTAAAAGATTAATGGGTAAATGCAAAGAATGCTCTGGAAACTCTTGAATGGAGACATTTTATTTCCAAATAACCACAGGAGTAACTGTTTGTAGCAAAAAAATGATTAATGGCATTGCCACCAAAATAAGGTGAGTCCCTAAACTTGATGGCATAGTATTTGCATGTTACCTCAATGTTACAGTTTCTCACACTACCTTTGTTTATTTTTACTGGAAGAAGCACAAGAAAAGCATGATGCTTGCTTAAATCTCCATAAATCCAAACATCTGAAGCTACATTACTCCTTTTTCCTGGCTCTGTTCCTCTCTGAAAGCACGCTGCTTGCATGCTCACTCTCGTTTTTCCCATGAACTACAGGGTGTAGGCCAAAATACCCTTTGCAACTGGTAACTTGCTAGGCACACTAGGTTCCAGTTAATATAACAACTGAACGTTTCATAATATTCGAAGTATCCATGGCATGAATGTATTAAAAGTCCTGAAACTCGCAGGAAATAGCAGCGTTTTTTGTTTTCCACAGGGTCAATTTTATTCATCTGGTGAAGGCATCTTACAATGACAAGAAAAAGTTAAGTGACATGGAAAACTGACACCCATGTTAACAATATTAGAGTGGCTTGTAGGACATGCTTTCTATGTGTAAAAGCTGAGCACCTCTCTGTGCACCAGCTCAGGGAGGTTCTTATTTGTATCATCATGGGCCACTATGCAATGGCGCAGTGTTGCATCCCTATCAGTGGTTTTAGCTACTGACTGGCATGTATTTCTGTGGGAAAATCAGCTGGATCTTTTAGTATCCAGTCACTTGGGAACCTGCTGTGGTTTGCTGGTGCTGAAGGCACAAGCAAGTTCATTAAAGGCAAAGTTGGAGGAACCATCTTGGCAACTGCTGAGTCAGTGTTTACCTGCCCTCCTGCCAATGTCACCAACTGACAGATGACTCGGCTTCTCATTTCTAAGAAAATAACTTAATATCTGACTACGCACTGACATCCTGCAGCACTGAACAACACCTCAGCAGTAGGGAGGCCATTGCCCAGAGCCAGGCTTAGGGAACAGTCTGAGCATCATTAAACCAGTGTGAATGAAGGGGTGTTGGTGAACATGACTGTGAAGTTGGCACCAAGGCAGTGCTGAGAGGCACCCAGACGGGCACTGCAATTGTCCCTTCGGGCATAAAGCAGCTCCCCTTAGCCAAAAAAAGGAGGGAAAGATGTCTCAGCTACACATGCCCATTGCATAATTGTCAAATATGCCTGTAATACAATTCCTTCAGAGGCAATTACTGCTGCAGTGTGGTTGCTTTGGGAAGCCTTCCTCTCCAAGGCTGAACTGCAACTATCAAACCTCTGTTGGTTTGGCTGAAAAAGGATCATGGTAGTGATGTCTTTTTACTAAAAAGGATTATTTCCCACTCTGCTGTCATTAAAACAATATATAAACTAGTCAAACTCATTCTTCACCAAGACTCTCTGAAAATGAAACATTTTTTTGATAAAATAACTGTAATTCAAACTGCAGCAGCCAGTGCTGTGCCTGCTTTGGTACCCAGCCAGTGAATTTTAAAGGAAACACCCTCCAGGACTGTTCTCCATTTGGATTTATTAGTCATTACCAAGAAAAGATAATTAGCACTTCTGAAGCATTGTGATAATCAGTAGCATGAACTGTTACCAATAGAAACGGACTGGGGTACTTGTGCGGCGCAGGAGTTTGCAGCTCTGCTGTACTCCCTGTACGGAATGAATACATGGGTGGGCAGATTCTCAGCTGGAGGAAATGCTCCTAACTACCAACTGCTCCAATGGAGCTAATGACACTTTACACAGTGTAAAGCTCCACTTTACAGGGGAGCTGTTCCCTGTCCTATTGGGCTTCTCCTTCTGTTATCCTGGAGGCAGATTAATTTTTTTTTACAGTATTCTTGTTGGCCAAAGGCAACGGCACATACTACTCCTTTACTACACAACAGGAAAATAGAAGGCAATTATTTTTCTTTTTGTATGCACCCTGCCAACAAAAAGGAAAATAACCTTGTGGTGGAACAAGAGGAACCTGATCCTTTAGGCAGCAATGTGGTTTTTTTAATCTCCCTCTTTCAAAACTAATGAATGACAAAACTATTGGATTCAAGTCTGTGCTAAAACTCAGAGAATTGGTTCCCCAAACTTATTGTTCCCCAAACTTCCATTACTTACGAACTGAAATAATCATGAGAGATGGCATGTAAATCTTGTGTTCTTAAATTTCAAAGAGTATTAAACATGCCAGGCTTCCTGCCACACAAGTATTACTGAGCTCAGACAAGTAATTCTATCAGATTTATCAATGTTGCTATCTAAATAAATATCACAATACATAGGCTTGTCTGAAATAGTTGTCTTTGTTTTTCTGTATCTGGAAGTGTGAGCAAAATACATGCTGAATAAGAGAGGTAGCATGTAAGCTTGGGAACGCTTCTGTTTTGGTGAGCATGAGTAACAAAGATAGCTAGAGGATTTACCCCCAAAATACTTGTAAGTCTGCAACAACCTCTTTCTTTCCTGCACTGTACAGATTATTTCAGGCCAATACAACACCCCTCCAGCCAAAAGGCATTCTGTATCCCCTGGGAAGCACACAGCAAATCTCGGGATTAAGGTCAGTGTGCACGCAAAGCACTTTGTCTGCAGGTGCTGCAGGGGCTGTGGTGTGGTGTGGTGTGCTGGTAAAGGGTACCTTACCCATGGTGATTCCTGTTGATGCTGATGGCCTTTAGTCATGTACATCTTCCTGGAGCAGAGGCTTTCAGGACTGCAATTCCAATGCCAGTAACACTCATTAACGCACTTGAGAAAGATGGGACCACGCTGGCAACATCTGAGTTGTTGACGCACTCAAAGTATTCGTGAATGTTTGCCCCTCTCCTAGGAAGATGACTGCTGTGGCAAGTCTGATTATTGCCAGGATGAAGTTTGCCAGATAGCAACAAACAAGCTGTTTACTACAGAAGTAAATGGGTCTATAAGTGTTTGCTTTTCAGCCGCTGCTGGGAAACAGGCACCCTCCTGCCAGGTCACAGACCAGCTATGTTACAGACCTCTTAAAGCAGTTCCTTGGTCATGGATGCGTAGCTTGTACTCAAATAACTGTCCAGTACACAGGAGTTGCTATGGCAGTGCTTTACAAATATACATTGCACAACGGATCGGTGATGTTGGACCACACTGACTCTTTTTTTGTGTCTTACACAAAAGGTTTGCTTCCACCCTGGAAACTGTGGAGCAGAACAAATACCAGAATATAACATGTATCTATATCTGTCTCTACTTAAGTGTATTGTCAGATTGCATCTGACTGTGGAACTGGGTTTAAAACACCTGGGTAACAATTTGCACATTATGCCAACAGCAGCATCTCTACCCCTCCCCTTCCCTCTTTCCCACCTGCAGTGCAGAGCAAGATGACTTCATAGCATCCTTCACACCAAAATAGGTCTCGGCTGTGTCTTTTTGTCTTCATGAAACTCATTTAATTCTGGTACTTTAACACCTACTCTTTCCTCTGCTGCTGGTGCTATTGCAAACAATAAATGCGTCCGGGTAACACTGTCTCCTTGGAAACCTGCCTCTGGCCCAAAAAAGTCAGTTTTGGTGCCTGTGTGGTACTGGAAAGCCAGAGAACTCATGGGTCAAGCACCTTTTCATGGCTGGGCTACTTTCACCTGGATTGAAACCAACCTAGATCAGACCTGGAATCCCTCGGTGAATAGATAAATAATCTGGGCTATTGCACCAGGATGATTTAATGGGAAAAAGTAAAAATATTGGCCTGGCATTGCACCAGGCTGCTGAGAGAAACCTGAGAACAGTGTAATTCCCTTGGTGAGCACATCTTGAGGGAAGGCTGGGGGCAGGAGCTCTGCCATGGTGTGGTCTGGGAGCACTGCAAGGGCCTAACTCTCCATTACCCCGCAGATTTCCAAATAATTGTAAACAATGCTGACTTCAAGTCTGCTGCCAGAGCCTCAGGCTCTTTAAGAAATAACCCCAATTCATTTATTGCCTAAGGATATTATAATTTCCAGAGTGAACTAGTTAAGGATCACAATACTGGGCGGAATTATAGTACAAGGTATGTTTTAGTGCAAACTTACTTATGAAATAGTCACAAATCTTCTTTGGAAGAAAATAGGCACAAAGCCCCAACATTTTTTTTTTTTTTTGTAGAAAAGTGCCTGCAGCAAATTTCTGCATCATTTTTATCTTGGGACTGGTCTGGACAGGGCTGGCTCCCATGGGTTGTGTGACAGCACGGTACAGCTCCACCGTGCTGCCAAGGCCCCAGGGAGGTCAAGCAGAGCTAAGGAGCAGCTTAGCAGGGGGTATTGCCAGCTGTGTCCCCTGCCCTGGCTGTGCCAGCCATGGGGAGGCTGTGCGGATTAGAAGCTCTTCACTCTTACATCTGATACGATACGCAAATTGATCCTGCTCCGCTGAAGGCTCAACTCCATACCTCTCATGTGAAATTTCTAAGGACAATCCAAAGATTTAGTTTCAAGAAAGAAGTAATTCATATATACACACACTGCCTTCAGCATACTTTCCCTTAAGAGACTGCTGGCATCTTTTGTATCATGAAAAGATGGATATGAAAATGTTTTGTGTCAGGAATGGTAATGCAGTAGAGTACAGAGTTCAGTCACTATATAATGGTAAAAACTATATTCCTCACTAAAAGTGATGCAAGAGGTGATTAATAAGAATGAAGCTTAGAGTTAGCTACTTCATGTAAAGCCTTTCAATAAATATGTAAGTGGAGATACATATATGTTTTTAATACTAGTTCAAGTGTGAACTGATTTGGTCTTTGGTCTTTCTGCTTTCGTGAATTATACTGCAATATTAGCTTTTCTAAAAAATAAGTATTTTTAATTTAAATTGGTCTAGGCAAGTGCTACACTAAATACAGTGAGCATATGCAGTATATAAAAGCAAGGTAGGAAAAAGGATTATCAAAATAGCTGAAATAATTTTGTGAACAGCATATACTACATGTCTATTTGGTGCAATTGTCATTCTTGTCCTGTCAGATCTGCGGGGAGGCAGCCACATGTTTAAGCACAACTTGGTCAAATTAGTTGGTGCATTTACTCCTGTTTAGAGCAGGTCTGGGCTTTAATTCAGGGCTTGGGGTTTCATCTTTAATGAACACTGAAGGTGCAAGTGCTTTGAACAGCTGTACCCTGGCATGATCTTTCTACAGTCACCTTAAACCAACACTTTGAAATAAGCCTTGATACTAACTTTAACAGGAGGTTAGCCAGGCACCTGTGAAGAAAAAGGCATTCTCTATTTCTGCGTGTTGCAAATTCTTCTACAGTTCAGCTTGTCTCAGCTAAGCATGTAGACCTGAGCCCCATCCTGGAACTACTTGTCCCAGTTCCAGGTTACAATGGCACTTTTCTGTTGGGCTTTTTCTTTGTTTATTTATTTGGTTTTGGTGTCTGTCCAGGGAACGAAGGTGCTTAGCTGCAGGGAAAAGCTTCAGAGCTCCCTGGGTATGACAGTGAATGGAATGACAGGACTGGTGGATTCAAGGTCCAGTGCAGTAAGGAAGCACTCGATGGCTGCTTCGTTTTTCCCCTGAGCTTGCAAGACCTCTCCAAGGCTGTTCCAGGCAATGTGGCTGGTGCTCTGGATACGGATGGCATCTCTGAGGACTTTCTGGGCCAGTTCCCTCCGCCCAAGTCTGCTCAGCACCAGGCCCTGTCAACAAACAAGTGATGAACAGTTAACAACAGCACAAAACAGAGGAGGAAATGGAGCACCCCCAGCTGCCATAAAGCTGAGGTGCCGTATGAGTCCTATGGAGGGGTTATTTAAAATAATAATTGTGAAAGTAATTTTTTTTTAAGCAGACACGGATCCAGCAAGTGCTCCTGCTGTGTGTTACTGGGAGAGCGTATACTGGTGCTATACAGAAGAAAGGTTATAGGCCCTTTAAGTATCCCTCTCTCCTTGCCCAGAAAACAGAGGTTCAATTACACACCATAACTTGCACATCTGGAACATCCAGCTGAGGTTGAAGTAAAGTCTCTCATCTCCTACATCTCAAGCATATAGAAAGATCTTTCTTAACAAATAGGGGGCAGAGGGATGTGGTCCCCTTCCAGTCTTCTATGGGCAGGCTGTATGTAACAGCATGGAATGTAAGCTCTGTCCTCCTGCACTCCAATGTAGATCCTAAAGCAGTGTGGGGGAGGAGAAGGATGCAGGAACCTTGTTTAAAAAGCTGTCCTTAGGGTAAGAAAAGACACAAGTGGGTGTAACCATCTGGAAGGAACAGGAGGGGGAGGATGAAAGACGTGTTAGGAAGAACATGTTTTCCTATAGGGCTCTCATGGATGTGGATCTGAACCCACAAAGCACCTAATGAGCCAGACTCCATGTTAATTATACAGCAGTCAACCACACTGAGCCCTGACAGGTCATGAGGGCTTTGCAGGACACAACGCATTAGTGGCACTTCTCTGCTTCCTCCTGAAGGTGCACACAGCAGGATGAACCTCCCACCAGCTTCACCCAGGGGTGGCCTCTGGAAGAAGCAGCCAACACTGCCATGTTGGCTGCCAAGCTCTGCATGGCCTCTGCCTGCACTCACCCATGGAAATGCTGGAAAGTGGGATGATTACCTCACTTCATGCTTTGCCTGGGAAAACATAGTTGGTGGATGCATATATTTATAAAGAAAGTCATTAGCTTAATCTTTAATGTGCCTAATTGCTTTTAGTTCACATGAAAAGATGGAAGAAACCTGAAATCTCTTGCAACTAGAACCCAAGTAAATTTCTGATGAAAGAATGGTGACGCTTTTGGAAATAGTTAAGATTTTTCCTTTCCTGTTTTCTTTGATTTTCCAAAAGTACCACTAGACACAGTGTGCATCAGCATGACTAAGACCTTAAGGCCAGTGATAATATTAACACCTACAGAAACACATTAATTTGCCTGAGACAAAAATTAAGAAACACCCATTTAATCAAGTACTGGTGGTGCTATGAAAAGTTTCAGTGCCTCCTTCTTGCCCATAACCTTGACCTGAATAATCAACTCAGAATCATATCTGATAATTTAGAGATGCAGTGGGGGTGTTTTTTCTTTAAGTTTCTCTCTGTGTAGGAAAACAACAAGGCAACAGGGTCTAATCTTACCATTGCCTTGGGAGCAGGCACACATGGCACAGAGGTACCCTGGTGGGAGAGGCTGGTACCCCTGGAGGTAGCTGCCTGGAGATGACTGCAGGCACGTAACGACAGACTGGAAGGAATTTGTGCAATTATAATTTGAGTCACCCGCTTGACAGGGATAATGAGGCATAGAAAGGGCAAGTAGTGTGGCCATAGCAAATCTGCTGCTGAGCCAAGAATAGACAGGAGTTATCTCAGCTCAAGTTTGTCCTCAACCACAAACTCACTCTTTCTAAAAACTCTTCTTGTTTCACTGACCGAGCAGAGCCGATTGTGCTCTCTGGTGGCCGGGGACCCATCGCTGTCCTCGCCCTGACACTAAGCAGCATCCAGCTTCTCAGTGCTCTCAGAGGCTGCTGGCCCTGGAGGCACAGAGGCCAGCGAGCCTGTGCAGCTGCTGCCTGTCAACCCTCTCCAACGAGGAGGAGAATTCCCTCCCTGTTTGAATTCCCTCCCTGGTTGACATCTCGCGCCTCTCAACAATGCTGCAGTGAAATCCACCTCATCGTAAACTGCTCGTGCAGCACAGCTCCCTTGTGCTCCCCAGCACCCTTGCTGGTCAAGAACCAAAGACTGGCCTGGCTTCCTGGTGTTTACTCTGCCTAGGCTTGAAGTCCCTGCAGCTGTTCTGCAGCACTGGAGGAGGCTGTATGCAAACCCAGGTACTGGGGGAGATGCTGAAGCTGACACCCACCAGTAAGTGCAGCACATGTGAACATCTGCTCATAGGTATTCAGTGCTTTCAAATTTGCCAGTTTAGCTGAAAAAAGATCTGTGAACTCTCAAAAAGGGCAACTCCAGGCTCTTCAAAGCCAGGGGAAGGCCCCCTGTTGACGCTGCAGTATACTGCATGAGCAAAAAACTGCTGTATGGTTCTGGAGAGAAACACAGGAAATATTTGTTAAACAAGTTTAAGATTTCCTGCCTCCTCTTTTCTTACATGCATGGCTGTTGGTACCAAAGGCTGCCCAGGTCCATGGCCCTTCCAAGGCATGCCCACCATCCTGCTTCCCTCTTCTGATGAGGAACAGCCCCTATGCCCTCTTCTTGCACACTTGCCTGGATTTCCATGTAGTGTGGGCACATGATGCTGCGCTTCAGGCCTCAGCCCAGGTGGAGGTCAGGGTTTGGCCAACCCACTCTGCAATCCCCATCCTTGCCAATATTCCCAAGCCCCAGCACACAGACCTATTTCTTTGCCCCAGAGTGAGCTGTGACAGATGGTGTCAGCCTTTTCAGTGAGGCTTAACTGAAGCGGCAGAAATATGCTGCTGGATGTTTTAAGGACAGGTTGAACATCATTAATTCTGTGTGCAGGAGAGTTTCTTGCTTTGGGTTTCCTCTCTCTCCTCTTCCCCTTGCAAACCACAAGCATTTTCTGAGAGCTGGAGGCTGCACAAACCCCAAGCCTTAGGAAGAAGCAGCACCGAGCACTTGAGTTTCTGTTTCCCTGAGGTATTTGCACTTGAGAGCTTCCCCTTGCTACTGAATTTCTTATTTCCCCATGGAGTCTGGCTTGCTCTAAACAATGCCTGCATGTTGTTGCTATGTAGGTCCAGTTGGAATCTGCCTACAGTGCAAAAGAAAAAAAAATTATATATAAATTCAGAAAGCCACCCACTGACAGGCAATTTGCATTTTTATCTGGAAGATTTTTTTTTAAAAACGAGATTTTTCTAATGAAAGTTCATCTCATGAGTTTCTATGGAAACTCATCTGCTTGGTGTGCATGCATAATTTCATAAAGTCAGATCTCAGGAAGATGAGCAATTAGTATAAATACAAGCAGCAATGTGATTAAGGGTTTCATCCTCTTATTCCTGAAGATGGAGGGTGGGGGCTGGGTTTTGTTGTCTTTCCTCGGTTTCTATTTGTGTTTTTGCCAAACTAACTGCAGAAACTGGTGCAAAAGGTAGCCTGGCTTCTCTGCCACCTCCTGGCTAGCACTGGCACTTCTGGTTTTGCCCGGTGATTTTCCTCCCCAAGATGACAAGTACCTCTAAGTATGGCCTTCTCTGTCAGTGATGTTGGTACTGAGTCAGGCCCTAAGGAGCAATGAGGACAGGCTTATTTTTAAACTCTAGCAAATTATAAATAGTAAAAAATCCCAAACCAACTCAAAAGGAGAGTGGGAATCATTTTTCTTTCAAACTCCTGTGGGCAGCACATCCCCAGGGCTCACGCCCCAGGCCTGTGCTAGCCACGCACACAGGCATTTCATGTCCCGTTTGTGCTAATACAGCTGCATAGTGCTCGGATGCTCAATCACTCATTTACTCACTCACTCACTCACTTGAGAAGGTCTGAGGGTAACTTGCACAGATTAATTTAGTTTCTTCTTTAGGTCTGAAGATGTACTTTAGATCTTGTAAAAAGAGGCAGACTAGTGAGGCCAGGCACTGGAAGAAATTAATTTGAGGTGAAGGGCTGCGGCACAGCAAGGCCGGTACAGTCTAGCGGTGTATGAAGGCTGAGGGGGGATAGTGAATTTGGTCTGCTGATTTAGGGTGCCTTTTGCTGACAGTTGGACTCCTGAATTGATGGTTTTTAAGTTCAGGGAACAGAGGGCGCCTATGGGAAGGTATTTTTGACCTCATCTGCATGCAAAACAAACAAAACCTAAACCACTTCTATGGTGACACTGGGCTGGACTCCCTTGCCTTCAGTGATGTGATACTTAGTAACTGATACTTGTGTGAGGCTATTTTTGTTTTAAATAGGAGAGCCATATTTCAATTTAAGTTAGATGAGAAAAAAAGTTACTTATTTTCAATTTCCACGAATAAAAAAATGAGCATAAACCACACTTTCAGAAGGTTGTGAAATTTCTGATCTGTGCTTTTATTTCCTGAGAGTTTTAACAAAACTTCCTTAAAGGTTGTCAGCTCATAAAATTCCCCGAAAATAGTGCAGAAAAGACATTATGGAAGACTACAAAATAAGCCTCACACAGAGGCTGGAGTTTATTTTTAGTAATGAAAATCAAAACTTCCTTTGCAAATGTTTAGTTCAAACACCTGATGAGCTGCAGGGAGTTATCCTGAGTCGGCATTCTTGTCTCTTTGCATTAAGGTGGCACAGATTTGCTTGTTCTGTCCTTTGGGGCTTGCATTGGTAAAGAGATGTCCAGACAAACATTTTTCCATTCCTGGAAGGTTGCTTTTTGTTGTATTTGCATGGTCATCTCATTCTTGGAGAATCTGTATAGGTGGACTAGACTCTATCCTTTACAAATGGATTTTAATAATTACATAAAATGTAAGTTCTCTCTGTCTTTTCATGAGAGACTAATTCCAAAGTGAGGTTGTCTCTGATGCTTGTCTCAACTGAGCAGAGCATTTTCACCTATTATTGTATAAATACCCTAGGATGTTTCCAGAATAAATCAGACTTTGCTGCTGGGCTTCCTTTAGTGCATTATTTAATTAATTTCAAGGTAGATGCAGTATCCTTACTATCTTCTCCAATCTGTAATACGGACATGTCACTAGTGGTTAGTAGGAGGGTAATCAGCAGCTG